TTGACTAAAAATATAAAACTCTACGTATCATGGAAATGCTATGATACTGAGTTTAAGTAGCCAAAAGATTTGTGGAATGAATATTATTAAATACTTGGCTTGTGTATAGTTAAATTCCCTAAACACTAAAGTGTCTCCATTTGAAATATGGAAGGGAAGAAAAATTGTATTATCTAATATAAAAAGTTCAAAGTGACACTACATATTGTTATCTTCCTAGTTGGGTCCAAGAACACTTAAGTGTGTGGTTATATGAACAATAAAGTATCTAAACTATTTATCATTGAAGATAATGTATTACTATAACTAAGGGATGTAGATTCATTTAAAAATTTATTTTTAAAGTTTTTAAAGTAAGTAGCTGATATAGCATCTTGTGAAACTCTTAGTTTCCAAAGTGCAAATGATTCTATAAGTGGATCGAAGAGAAAGACATTGACTTTCTGGTTTAAGCAAAGTCTAAATTATATAAAAGTTTTCTTAGAAGTTGTATCCTCTAAGACTACTGATTTTTTTAGTGAGAACAATAAAAATACTCTACTAAGTAACTTTTTTCAAATTCATCCTTATCTTTTGGCATAGCTTGCATCACAAATGTTGGACGATCCCATCTCAGGTTGCGGTAGTCTGAATAAGAAAATCGTTCCTTGCTAGCCTTGATCAATAGTTTTAGAGCGTTAGTGTCATCAAGAGTAATGACAAAATATTCTGGCATAGCTTGCATCACAAATATTGGACGATCCCATCTCAAGTTGCGATAGTCTGAATAAGAAAATCGTTCCTTGCTAGCCTTGATCAATAGTTGTAGAGCGTTAGCGTCATCAAGAGTAATGACAAAATATTCATTGAGCATGTCTAAATGATATAAGTCAATGTTGTCTGAAATAATTTGAGATTTAGGTACTTCCTGATCTCTCTTATAGCTGGCAAAAAATCATAACTGTCAACCTAAAATGATGGCTCACTCCCTGGGAAATTTTCAAGCGCGGCTTCACACCTCGATATTGTTGCAGCTGTTTTCTTGTTTGTGTTTTTGATCTTCTAGATTTTCTTGATTCTTCTTTTGGAGCAACCTAACCGTAAACGATGTGACTTTCCAAAAATATTAAAGTAGCCACATATTTCAAAATATCCAAAGTCGTTACGCAATCTAGCAAACCCCTGTGTCGTTGGACACCAAATCCAAAATGCTTTGACAGGGTAGCGAGCTGGTGGTTGTCCACTTTCACATTCCTTTCACTCAAACATTTTTGAAACACCTCTTCAATATCAATAATTCCTTTAAAACATGGAGCAGACCGCGATATGGCTGTAAAAAAATCTCGTATCTTAGCACATTCAACATTCTTTATAGACTAGCATATCCATGTCTTGCCATCCAAAATATAAAAGATTTTATCAATATGATCTATAAAGGGCTTGTTGTTTTTGAAGTCCTCCTTCTTCATCCTGTTCGTAATATATATATATTTTTTTTATCAAAAATCTTAATTTTCATATCAACTTTGCCGAACACTTGCAAGGTTTTAGAGCAAACCCGCATAGCTCCAAATTCAAAAATAATCCAACCCAAGTCTTTGTCATGGTAGCCTTCCAAATCAACAACAACTAAGTTTGGACCATTAGGTAAATCCATTTATCCGTTGACCATGGCTGATCCGGAGTGAAGGAGAAGAAGATGCAGCAGCGGCTGTTTTCTAGAGTAAGTTAAAACTAATGAGTTTTTTGAAATTTAGGCTAATGTATTTTGGAAAAAAAAAAAAGTTAATCAGAAATGGACTTGACATTGTCTCACGATATATGCATCCAAATTAATTTAACTTGAAAGGTTCTAGACTTGTAAATATGAAATGGCTATTCCATTAGTAATATGCTATTGATAGTAAGTTACATCAATAGTATATTTGGACTTGAAGTGTCATGATTAATCTGATTAGTTTGACTTGTATATTTTATCCTACTAGCTAGAAGTTTTCATTTTAGTTTTTCATGTTCACCTGTTAAATTTGGAAAATCAAAAATTTGTGAGAGTATGGTATATATTTTTACTTTTATATAAATATTTAGGCTCAATGCACATACTAATTTTAAACGTGCAGTAGATACTAAGAATTCATTTTTTAAGTTCAAATTAACTGAGTTTGGTGAAAGAGATATCTTAGTTGTTCTACTAAAGGAAATAGTGAGTGTTTTGTACCTTCTTCTTCATATGATGTTGATAAGTTATGCATTAGAGTTGTTTTAACATTTTTTATGTGATATGTGACTCACTTATTACAATAAGTGCCTAAGTAAATATCATTGAAAATCTAATACTAAAATCATAATGTGTCTTTCAAAGAGAGTATGATTTTATTATAAATGATTAAATTTCTATTGTTTTTAAGGGTTATTCGATGTTGATCTGGCGTTTTTAATATGTTGGTTTGACTGAAGTTGAAAGTAATTAGACATTTACCAGTTGTGAAAGATTGCAAGTAGAATTGCTGAATTTGGATTTTTGTATTCTCTTAACAACCATACTACTGTGGATGCTGCATGCTACACACCCCTTCTCCTCAGAAATGGAGCGAACGGTGTTGGTACCTGGGGTGGTGGTACCAGGCGTGGTACTGCTAGGCGTGGTAGAGGACGTGGTAGAGATCAGAGGCGTATAGTAATCGCATGTGACGGTAGAGTAACCAGTCGTGGTCACATTGACGGTCGTCTTCATATTGGTATGTTGTTATTTGATTTGTTGTTTGATATCACTTTTGCAGATATTTCATAATTTTGACTTCACTCTTTTTGCCTTTGAATTGAACAGCTCAGAAAAATATGATGAAGATTCATTTCATTAACCGCAATATGGTGTTTGGCGTAACTGGAACCCTGGGCCATTATCGAGGTCTGAGATAGGAAATGAATCATGTAAAAACTATCGGGCAAGCCATACATTTTCTGCAACTAAGGCTTCTTCACAATAACCCAACAGATTTAAACACTTTTATGAATATGAGGTTTATCATTGCCGGGTTTACTGGTAGAGTAAGTGGATGGTTTAGTGGTTAGATTTATATGTCTTGAACATTGTGTAGAATTTGACAATGGATAATTATAGACATATTAATTTAAAAAATCTATTTCTTATGAGATACTAAGTGTTGATGTTGTCTGTGTTGTGTTTGTGAAAACACAATTTTGTTATGAATCCATATACTAGACCTCTTGCGAGAGAATTAGTGTTTCTTGACAACATGAGGAATGAGAGTAAAATCTGAATATAAAAATCATGAACAATGGAAACCTAACTTTCTTCTAGTACTACCTCCAGATTGCAAGGTTTAAAGGGTAACAACAAATTGTTTTGTGGTTGTGAGCACCAAAACTTGTGTACACCATTCCAAGTATTGGTGCACAATATACGTTACTCTTAAGTGAGCAGGTTGAGAGAAATCTCTTAATGGAATTATTCCTGGGTGTTCCATTACAGTATAGTAATAAACTGGAATAACTTTCACCTATTTGATCATAGAATTAGTGCGACTTCTAGCAAAAGTTTGAGATTATCTTCTGTAAATGATCAAGAATCTAGGATTGACACATTGCTGGTAATATTGCTAAATCATAATGTGAATTATGAGAAATGCTTTGAGTGTTTGCGCATGTAATATTAAGTCTACACGAGACTGATTATTGGTTTAAGCAACAAGCCACCAATAAATTAGCTAGTTAGGTGACTTCATTTCACTACGATGTGGTTTAAAACTAAAGTCACCACCTCTTAAACACGATTCTCACGATTGTGTGATTATTTTACATTACACTCTAAGTGGGGAAAGGTTAGAAATTTAGTTTTTAATATAAAATAATTAAATAGAATTTTAAGGATAATAATTAAATTGGGAACACTCCACACAAGGTGGTGGTTATTACCTTATCAACCAAGGGTTATATAATTTATTTGTATCCTTTCAATTGTGCAAGTGTTTCTTATAAATAGACATTACTACTTCAGGATTTCATTTGAGATATTTTACATTCCTAAATTTTTGAGAAAATTCAATGATTGCAAAATTACATATTCTTGTTTTGTTTATGTCCTAGAGGCAAATTGCCAAACAAATTCGGTTCTTTCAACATGATGGAGGCAAATATTTTCTTAAGAACAGTGTTTAAAACGACTAGAATACATCCAAATCTATGTGACTCCCTCATTATTGTCATATTCGAATTTCTATCAATAAAATTTATCATTCTTTATCTTTACTCTTTGGTGTCTTTTGTGTTGTGTCTTTGGTTATTACCCCTAAATACTTTTAATCGAAATACAAAAAATGTACCAAATAGATAGTTATATAATATTTTTTATTTATGTACTAAATTAAACTAGGTAATAGATTGTGTGGTGCACTCAACACTAGTAACATACCTGAAAAGTTCATACCACGAGATTCTACCCTTTTTTTTGTTTTTTGCTTCTAAAAGATATAAAGTGAGTTTTTAAAAAAGCACTTGTCACTATATCGATTCACTAAATATAACGATTACTATCCTTAATTATTTTTTTTTTTAAGGAAATGTGCTGCTAAAATTATGAAGATTAGAACAATTAGTTCTTCCAACTATCGACTACGCATATCGGGTGAGGTATTTATATAATAACAAAGGATGTATGCACACCAACCCCTTCTGTTTTTTCAAATTTATTGTTTGGTTTTCAACTCAATTGATGAAAGCTGGGCGGATGTGTTAGTTATGGGATGAAGGAGTACAATTTAAGGGATACACCTTAACTGAAAGTGAAATGTAAAATAAGGATTAAAACTATAAATGTTAAACATGCCATTAATTAATTATATTTTTTTCCATATTTGGAGGGACCCATTAATTAATTTTGATAAAATACTGTATATAATACAAAAACACTTAAACCACTCTTATCTTTGATTAATCACAAAATCATATGGCAAATTGGCAATAGATGCATGCTATTTATAAACAATTAATGTCTAATATTGTTACACACTCATCGTTTTAGCATACACAACTATTGGACTTCTAGCAACATGAATTCCATCATCCCATTCAAGAGAAGCAGATACCATGCTCTCTAAATTTTTCCCAGCAACCGTAACCACAAATGATTTCTCTTCATTTAGTGCCTTGAATGAGAGTTGCTCGGGCACGACATTAATTTTGCACGCGGTATGATGGCATGTGGTTTTGGCCTTGTATGTCGAGTTTGGTAATCCAACATTTGTGACCTTTCTAGTGAACTTAACTTTGAATTCTGCACCATTAGTATTATTAGTCAAGGGTAGCTCTTCAATCTGGGCAGCCATGGAAGGGTAATTCAAATCCTTTGCTTTCAGAGGTTGGACTTTCTTATCATCACAAGTAATGTTGAGTCCAGACATCTTGGTGGCCATGGATGAAGAAATGTTCATACCACACAGCAAGTTGATGTAATCTTGATAGGTTGTTCGATACACGATTCCTGGATTTGCAGCTTTGACTGGATCAAGATGCCCAGCTCCATAACTAAATTCATTGTGTCCATGCTTTGATTTAGAGGTATTCATGCGGCCAGCAGCAGCTATTATATATGTATGGATATGTATAAGAGATAGAAAATTGTTTAATTAATTGGATCAGTTTTTTCACAATCGAAAAAACAAATGATCCTAAATATATACTTTTTATTAATGAATAGTGTTCATTTGAAAAAAAAAACAAGGAGTTTATTTTGTTACTAGGTAGCTAGGGAGGTAAGAATGTCAATAATTAAACTGTTACCGGTAGTCATCAAAGCAGATTTAATTGCAGAAGCAGACCAATCAGGATGGATTGATTTGACGTAAGCAGCTGCACCAGTGACATGAGGGCATGACATAGAGGTTCCAGACAATATGTTGTAAAATACAGATCTTTTGTCAAAACCGTAATCTGAAGGAGAACTTTTTGGTGAAAATGCTGCTAAAATCTCGGTTCCTGGTGCAATTATATCAGGCTGTACAAAAAATTACAAGTTGGACATAAATATGATTTTTTTAAAAAAATTTAGACATCTCCCCCTTCTCTTCCCCCCCCAAAAAGAAGAAATTGTATTTATATGAATTTAGTTGGTGTACCTTCAAAATGTCTGGAATAACAACATTAGGCCCTCTTGAAGAAAATTCAGCTACAATAGGAGCATCCTTATCTTTTTTAGAGTGACTCGTCAATATGTTCATTGTAGGTTTCCTGTAGTTACATATATGTGTTGATTAAAATTTGAATTAAGATACAAGGAAGGGATTTGTTCTTCAACGCCATAATAGTAATAAGAATATATGGCATATGAAAGTATAAATTTTTTCTTTAAAGAGAATATGAACGGACCGAGGGATTAATAAATTAATATTACTTGTTGGAGTCGTAATAGCTTTCAGCCAATTCGAATTGGTAAGAAGGGAGGAGTGAAATAGCGAATGGAAGAACAGCCGAAATATTGGGTGTACTCGGAGATTTCTGAGCAACAAGTCCGACGGCTCCAGCTTCATAAGCATCTACCAGGTAATCCGACGATTGACAAAGTAGAATCTTCCCCTTCACCAAATTCTTATCTAAACAACCTCTCTCGCATAGCCTTCATATTTAAGTAATTATCCCACACGTAATAACAATAAAGAAAAGGAATACATTAGTCACTAATTATCAAATAATTTATAACAATGGATATATGTAGGTTGTAGCAAATTAATTGAAATAGTAGTATATATAATTACTTGGCTAAGTCGGGAGCACAGTCAGATGTGGTTTCAGCACCATATACAACTGGAACTTGTGAACCCTTCAACTTAAATGAATTTACTGCGTAACCCTACAAGCATGTATATATATTGGTGATTAATACATATGCATAAGATGATGGAGATTATAAGAAAGGTGAAGGTAGATGACATACCTCCAAAACTTTGGAATTACCAAGGACAACTTTAGTCATAATCTTACGATTGGTAGTACTGGCAGCCACACTAAACAACCAAGGGGCATTACTGGCAGTACTACCAACCATAGGACCACTATTCCCAGCAGATTGCACCACCAGGATGCCTTTCTCCGTTGCGTGGAAAGCTCCAATCGCAATTGTGTCTTCCTCTATGCTCACCGGTTGTTGTCGTCCCAGAGACACAGATAGGATATCCACTCCGTCGGCAACTGCATCATCAAATGCACCCAATATTCCAGCCGTACTACATCCAATAGTGGAACACACTTGGTACGCCGCGATCCTAGCAGAGGGTGCGCCTCCCCTGGCTAAACCCTCGGCGATGCCGTAAAAGCTAGTATTCTTGACGGGTCTTCCGCCTGCTATGGATGCAGTGTGTGATCCATGCCCAATTGTATCTCTACAAGATGACCCTCCCGTACTTCCATCGTAGAATCGGGCTCCAATGATCTTCCTATCATATTATTTATATATATATATATATATATTATTAATTGCATGTATGGGTTTTTCAAGCTAATGAGATTAATTAATTAAATTAATGGGTATGATCATAATAAAATAATAGTATTAATGAAACTCACTTGTTACATTTGAAATCAGAGCCGCCTTGACATTCACCCTTCCATCTCTTAGGGACAGGGCCAAAACCATGATCATCAAAACTCGGAGACTCTGGCCAAATCCCGGTGTCCAGCACCCCGATTATGACTTCGCCTTCTCCAGTTAGGTTGCGATCTATATTCTCAGGGAATCCCATGAAATCCCAAGACTCTGTGGTGTGAAGTTGTAGTGTTTCACTCCGGAATACGGACACCACATTCTCATCACCTGTTTCATCAATTAATTAATTAATATGCCATGATAAAGTATACATCAATCTATACATAAATATTTACGATTCAAACAAACCATGAAGGTATGATTAATGCACCTCAACCCCCCTCTTCCCATTTAATCATGTTTGAAATGACCAATTTTATACCGTAAGAGATTAGGTGATGAATACTAACTTGATAATTTTGCTGCCTCCTTATCTGTGAGAAGAGCTGCAAACCCATTAAAACTCCTTGTGTAGCTTCTGATCAGTGATTGTCCCGCATAACTTCAATTAAGCACAAATATGTATGTTATTGTATAAGTTAATATCACATATATCCATGTCATTGAGCCAAAAAATAAAGGAAACAAAAAAGAAAGATAGAAAGAGAATAAAAATCAATCCAGGTCATTAGGTGTATGTGCATGGAATATGTTTGTTTCAAATAATAAAATGGAATATGTAGGCACCTGGAGCTGACCACTCCTCGAAGCATGCTCAAGTGGTGTGACTTGGGTGAATACTTCGGATCCGAAGGAAGAGATCCCATGTACACTATATACTCCTGCGATCATATATATCATTCATTAGCAGACATAAAACACGTGAAATGATTTGTTGAAATTAGAAGATAAGCTTATTTTTCTAGATAAAATTAGTTCTTTAATTCGTTCCGAATCATGTGTCATGCATATAATTATTTTGTTTAAGGCTCGGCTTTGTTTTAAAAAGTGTAAATAATTTTAGCTCGAGTGGCATCCTCTTAATTAATTCCCTACAAATTCTGTGAATATAATTTGGCGAGATAAAAAAAATGTTATAGATGCCAAAATTACAAAAATATATATATATATATATATATATATAAATAAAAAATTAAAGAACAAAAAAATATAGGTATCTAGAGGCAAAAACATGTGAAAAATTTGAGTGGTTGAATTAGAAGAAAAAGAGGTAGGCGCTACTTTTCGGTCTTCATTAGCAATGGTAAAAGATCCTCTGACAATATAAACATAAAGTGAAAAGAGGGCAAAACACCAAAAGGATGACTGAGTTGCAGCCATCATGGTCAAGCAAGTATTAAGTAGTAACAGTAATAGAGCAGTTCAGTTTTCTACAAAGTGATGTATTGTTCTGCTGCAAAGCTACAACTATTTATAACGGCAAAATTAGTCAGTCCTTCCATTCTTCCTTTATTATTCTTGTTTGTTTTCTACAATACTAGTTATGTTATAACTATTGTGCATTCCACTAAGAAATACGTTTCATTTGACTTATTTTTTCTAGTTGATCCTTACGGATTCTGATAATTTATTTTGATTACGTACTCATTTGGTGTGTGTGAATTAGTTATGCTTTAAATGAAATTAATTAATGTTCCTGCAATTTATATTCTGACAATCCCATTATACCTATATGAGATTTGATGTATCCTTACAAATGTCAATATGAGAGCTCTAGTTTAAGTGTTCAACACTTGAGTATCATTGTCAACTTGGAGTTGACGTCACCCTTCCCTCACCCACAAACTATGTGTCATTATTTCATTGTAATAAAAGAAAAAGGCTAGACCGATAATTACATATTACGGTAATGTATATTTGAATGCGATGAACAACCTTTAATTCAATTTTATCTTGAGTTTGAGAGACAAACCAATATTTTTTGTGTTTAAATGGCCAACTTAAATCTGCCATTTCAATGAACCTGAATTCTGTGGATTTGTGTGCTTAATTTAAAATCAACCCAAAACAAAGCCCAGTATATCAAATACTCCACTACATTGGTCCATATACCTGTACGCAAATATTCAAATCTCTACTTCTCCAGTCTCTACTGTACTCATTTTGCGGCTGATTTCTCTTAGTTCACTTTGAGAGGGAGTAATTCATTATTATTTATGTTGTTTTCTATAGATTTTAAACAATTAGCTGAACAAGGATACTTTTAGTCCGGTTGTTAAGGCGGTCACTATTCGCTCAGTTTTAATAATTGTTTTGATTCATGGGTGATCAATTTCTGCTTAATGTTAGTAATGCTTTTCTTAATGGTGTTCTGATTGAAACTGTCTACACAGTTCAACCTCGGGATTTTGTTGATCCGGTGCGCCCTCACTATGTGTCTAAGCTGCATAGGTCCTTATATGGGCTAAAGCAAGCTCATCGGGCATGGTATTCTCGGTTGGCTGCTTTCTGGTTACTTTGACATTTGTGGAGTCTTGTTGTGATCCTTCCCTCTTTGTGTACCGTCGTGGGTCTCAGTTGTGTTTTCTGTTCATGTATTATTACATGCAGCACTTCTGGTTTGGTTCAGAATTTTATTTCATGTCTTTCTAAGGAGTTTTATCTTCGTGATTCGGGTCTTTTGGGTTACTTTTTTCTTGGTGTCAAGATTCATCGCACTTCCTTAGGTTTTGCTTCTCTCTCAGTGCAAGTATGTTACTGATTTACTACGGTTTGCTAATATGCATACTTGCAAGCCTATTTCTACTCCTATGCACGCTCGTGTTGTGTTGTCCCATTTGGATGGTACGCTACTGTCTCCTGATGATGCGACTACCTATCGCCGGCTTTGTGGTAGTCTATAGTACACCAATCTCACCCCTGGATATCTGTTTTGTGGTTAGTGGCGGAACCAGGAATACACTGCAGGGGCCCAACAATCAAAAAAACTCCACACTACAACAACCAAAATAAATATGCAACATTCATCAACAAAATAATTACTTTTAACAGTGGCGTAGAACTATTTTTAGATTTGGTTTTAAAAAAATATTATATAAAAAATACAAGTTGAGCCAAACAAAAAGAACCTACACGAATAGGCTGGTTGTTCAATTTTTAATCTTCTTCTCTGGTATGGACTTTTACTAAAATAATAGGATTTTGATTGGGTAGATTGAATAAAAAAAAACCCCAATTGAGTACAATTCATCAATTTCCTCTTGATTTCGCCGGAGGGTCTTGGCTGAAAGCTTCAACACCGGCAACATCAATTATAGACTACATTAGGCATGACCATGGTTCAGAACCGCCGGTTCCAGTTCATGAACTGTCGGTTCCCGGTTCAAGAAATAGGTGAATCTCAACCGGACCTTAAAGTTATGGTTATGGTTTCGGTTCGTAAACATCCTGTTTAGGTTTGGTTCCGTGTTGATTTCGGTCCAGTTCGCTAACAGTTTAATCCGATTTTATTGATGGTTTCAATCCGGTTTGAATACAATTTTAATCCAATGCTTATATAATTTTTTTTGTTGATTCAGTGTTAAAAAAAAAAAACAAGACAAAGAAAAGGATTGAGTCATCAAAAAAAATCATAATTGAGTGATAATAATTTGTTGGCCTTTTAAAAAAAATAATATAAGAAAAACAAGTTAATTCAGGTGTCTCGCAGACATTTCTTGATTTCATTAATTAAAAAAAGCAGTACATAAGATTACCTAAAGGAATGAATTACCATTACAATTTTCTCTAATATCTATTGAAATTTGGAAACAACAAATATATAAATACGAAAAGAAATAAAAAAATTGCATTAAAGTTAGCTCCTAACTATATAAATATGTAAAACTTTAGATAGATCAAACATGATGAAGGCAAAAAATTCCTTGGCAATGAATCAACAGTTCTTGGTCAAAGAGTCTAGCAAAAAAAAGATTAGCACTCCGATGCTAACATCAGAATTTGGTAGCGAATGAAAAAGCATATATAAAAGTATAGGAAAAAAGTGAACTCCTTGATTTCGTAGACTATTCAAAATGAGATATGTCTTCCTCAGTATTAAACTCAGTCCCAGTAGAAGATGCTGCTATAGAATCCTCTCAAAAATCTGTGTCATTATCAAGTAGTTCCATTTCATTACTTAGTTCTTGAGCCCTTAATGATGCCTTGTGCCAATCTGCTACAATAACTTGAATTTCTAGTGCTGATGGCAACAATCGAGACCGTTGCTCATCTAAAATACTTCCTCCAGAACTAAAAGTTTGTTCCACGGCTACAGTTGATGTGGGAGTTCCTAAAAGATGTTTGGCCATCACAGCAACAACTGGAAAGTCTTTCTTCATGTTTTCTCCACCAATCCAATAAGTCAAAATCTTTGTTGGTATTTGCTTTTATCTCAAAAGAAGTTGCTAAAAATTCTTCAAATTCTGTATTGTTGCCCACCCTTTGTCTTTTTGGTGATGTTTAAAAAATATCAGGATCAAGATCATCACTAAACAAAGAGGGAGAGGATATTCTTGGAGAATTTGATATTTTGTTTCGTATTGTACCACTAGTACTACCTTTAGATCCATAACCTCCATTGTTAGAACGATTTTGAGAAGAATAAATAACCTCATACTTATCAAACATGCTTTGTGCTTCAGTTTTTGCAACATCGTAAATAGTTTTAGAATCAATATTCTTATATTGCGAGTTAATAGAACTAAAATATTCATTTACACATTTATAATATAGATTTTAAAATTCTTCCACCTTACATATTTACCATTTTTTTTTTGACTTATATACATAAATTGCAGATGGAATGTATGTATATTAGTCAAACCATTTATTTAACATATAAGAAACTAAATTCTTAAACATTTCATCAATATCATTTTTATATTTCATTAACTTACCAACAATAGTAAGAGATCTATATAAAAATATATGTGAAGTGGGAAAATAAACTCCAGAAAAAAGTTCAGTTGTATCTTTAAAAACTTTTATAACATCTAATAATTTCGAACAAGCATCCCAATGTCTAGGATATAAGTAATGACTATCCAATCTATCACTGTTATCCATAAAAAAAAAACCAGATAATAAAAGCATATAATTGTCAATGAATTTTAACAGATCATATGCCGAATTCTACCTATGAGGAACATCTTTACAAAATCTTTTCTGTTTATTTCCTTTTTCTCTACAAAACTTTCACATTTCCTTTTTCTCTACAAAACTTTCACCATTCTCTCATCATTGATGGTCGAGCCCATAAAAGTTTCACAACATTTTTTATAGGGGCAATATTATTTTGAAATTTTTTCAAATCATCTTGAACTGTTGAATTCGCCAGTTTGTTTGGGAATGGTAGAGAACAAAAAAAAAAAAAATGTGTGGTTCCGAAGGACCTTCAAAAACAGTCCTACAAGAGTTGGTGTTCTTTAAACTGATTTGCTTGGCAATACGATCAAATCCAAGTTTTCGATTCCAAACTTTGAACAATACATCAAACCTAAATAACAAACAATCCAACACAGTCATGCAAAAAAAAACTAACCAAATAGTGAAGAATAAATATTTTGGAACATACTTTACGGTAATATGATATTTACCTAAATCCTAATCATTACTGCTACTGCAATCTTCATTCATTTAAATGACGAACTCAAAGAATATAAATAAATATGGGTTGTGATACAAAACACCAGGCATTTAATAGAGAAGTAAAAACGTTAAAGAAAAAGGCTTGCCATGAGACTTCTATTCCCTATTGCTACAAGCTGTAGGAGTTTACAACAGGAGAAAGTCCGCAGTCCCCCTAGCCTCTAACAACCACAAACCCAAACCAAGCAATAACAAGAACCCAAAATTGGCGAAGAAAAATAAAAAGGCAAAGAGCAAGTAAAACAAATAAAGCAAACGCTTCACTTTAGACCAAAGAAAAACCACAATCTGATGATATGTACATCTCAATACAATATGCATATCGGGGAGGGGTACAAACTAAGAATCACAGAAGCCACACTTCCAAGGGCGAAAAAAAAGAAAAAAGGAGAACCATGTGCCATTCTCCAATTAAATAGCTAAGCTCCCTTTTTGCACACCTTGTGCCCCGTTTCCACTGGCATCTAATCCCAGGAATTAGTTTGTAAAGAATAAATTAACAATTATATATATAACAAAGGAAAAAAAAACATATCATCGACACCTCTCTGTTAATATTTTCTTCGGCCGGGGATAGAGAATTTACTGGAAAATTAGAGCTTTGTAGTTGACAAAGTGCAGCAACAATGATGATCATGAATTACAGGACCGGAGCAATGAATTTGAGAAAAGAGACTATAACATTTGAGAGAGCTAGAGAGGCTTTGATGTCGAAAACAGAAAAAAAAAAAAAAAAAAAAAAAA